TGGATACTGGCAGGTGCCCTTGTCGCCCGAGAGCCGCCCGGTCACGGCCTTCACCGTCCCCGGTAAGGGGCTCATGCAGTTCCGGGTAATGCCGTTCGGCCTCCACTCCGCCCCGGCTACGTTCCAAAGACTCCTGGACGAGGTCCTGGGACCCGAATTAGAGCCCCACGTCCTGGTCTACCTAGACGATATTGTCATCATTAGCCGAACCTTTGACGAGCACCTCCGATTACTGGCCGAGGTCTTCCGCCGCCTCCGGGAAGCCAAACTCCGCCTGAACCCCGACAAGTGCCATTTTTGCCGGGATCAATTGCGGTACCTGGGCCACCTCGTGGATCGACACGGCATACGAACAGACACGGACAAGGTCAGCGCCGTGGCAGGGTGGCCGGCCCCGACGACGGCACGCAGGGTGCGCCAGTTCTTGGGGATGGCCTCTTGGTATCGGCGGTTCGTCGCAAACCTTCTCGACCCTTGCAGCCCCGCTCACCAGCTTGACACGCAAAGGGGCTAAGTGGAGTTGGGGCCCCGACGAGGAGGGCGCCTTCCGCCAACTAAAAACTGCGCTGACCTCCGCCCCGGTCCTAGCCTGCCCGGACTTCAGCCGCCGATTCGTTCTGCAGACCGACGCCAGTGCGGTCGGGTTAGGCGCCGTGTTGACACAGCACCAGGAGGACGGCGAGCGAGTGATCGCCTACGCCAGCCGTACCCTTAACGGCGCCGAAAGAAATTATAGCGCCACCGAGTTGGAGTGCTTCGCGGTCGTCTGGGGCATCCGGAAGATGCGAGGGTACCTGGAGGGATACGCTTTCACCGTCGTGACCGACCACCAATCCTTGCGATGGCTGCAGCGGCTAGAGGAAAAAAAAATTTTTTTTAAATTGCTTGTTACAAAATTGTTTGTTTTCTTTACAGCAGTTGATTTGTATCATTATTCTGTGCAAAAAGTATTAAGGTAAGATGATAAAAAAATGAATATTTTACAAGATATTTTGTAATTTACGTCAAAATATTGGAACTTTCAAACCTTAATAACTCAAAAAGGTCTTAATAAAAAAATACTTTATTATAGTGTTTTGGAAAGCTCTCGAGATTAGCTACAAGAATATGTAATAAAAAATAGGGGATGCCATTTAAAAAAATTGGTGTGACCTTTATGTGACCTTCAAATAATTCTTCAAGGTCAAACCAATGATACCGTCTTATGGCCCCCTCGAAACCATACAACTTTTGTCTGAAACTTTTTTTGATTTGATGTGCAGTTCTCGAGATTTTTCGTTGTCTCAAGATAAAAAACTCACCCTGTGTAAAGAACGTAATATTGTAACTGATTCTAATAATATTACGTTCCTACTACTACATAATATATAAAAAATTTATAAAAAATATAATATTTTACATTGTTAATTATGTAATAAAAATGTAATAAAAATAAAATGTAATAATTATGTAATAAAAATTTCATACTTACATTTAATGTGAAAACACTTGGCGTCGTTACCAGCGATGTCGTCGCCGGCGTCGTCACCGCCGTTGCCGTCGTCACCGTCACCGGCATCATCGCCGGAGTTGCTGCCGCCGTCGCCGGCGTCGTCGTCGCCGGGGCCGTCGTTGCCGCCGCCGTCGTCGCCGGCGCCGTCGTTGCCGCCGTCGTCGTCGTCGCCGGGACCGTCGTTGCCGCCGCCGTCGCCGGCGTCGACGTCGTCGTTGCCGTCGTCGTCGTCACCGGCCCCGTTTCTTCCATCACAATTGACTGAAAAAGAAAAATTAATGTTATTGAAAATAAATACTTATATAAATTTTTATTGATTAGTGCCAGTCTACAATGAATTGTTAATCGTTAATCGGAAGTTGGAAGTATAAGTCGGTCCTTCTTTATTCGCCAAGAAATCCTTTCTTCTAGAAAAGAAAGAAGGATCAAGGACCGACGTAAGTACAGTTTCACTTCCAATTAATAACGAATAACTTATAGACTAGGGCTGTGTTCCGATATTCACTAAAGTAGCAGTACTGAAAATGTATTGTTTATGTTCCGTACACAATTATAGATTGTCAGTACTGCCAATGAATATCAGAACGCAGTTATACTTTTACAAAAATGTATATGTATATATGTAAAATTATTTACTCACATTAGCGTATAGTCTCCTTGACACACGGACTGGCTCTCTGCGACACACAGACTGACACGCGACTGACAAGTGACGATTCACGAAGCGCGGACTGCGGTAGCGCGATGCTATTGCCCTCACTCCCCCACTCTGTAGGGGGGCCATGCGATAGGATGTTTCCATGCTGCGTTGTTTTGGAAAAGAATCTCTTTCTCTCTCACACACACAGTTCCTGTTCTTCCAGCGAAGTGATAGTTAACCTTTGAAAGAGTCTCTCTCTACTTGAAGCATTGTCAAGACTTGTACGATTTGCTACGATTGATAATACAATTCGTATCAGGTTTTATTTGTTATCTAGTTGAAATACTGTCCGATTACTTATTCTCGAAGACGCTGTCTCGACTGGCTTGGCATCAATTTGTGTTACACAACACAATTGATAATCAGCTGGATGCAGCTAATTTTGTGTACAGTTAAGTAGTTTTTCGATTTCACATTATTATACTTCTCAAAGTATTAATGATGTGAAATTGAAAAACTACTTAACTGTGCACAAAAGTAGTTTATTAATAATCTTTATTATTAATAATCTTTATTTTTTGCTTCATTTTCTTTTCTCGCTTTTTCTTTTTTGTATTATTTTTTAAGCGTGGTGAGAGATAATTTTTATTTCTAGATAGCACAAAATTTTAAATTTAATAAATAATATTTTTATAAGTACGAGCAGAAATTAATAAAAATCACGATGAGTGATCAGTGTTTAGAGAGTGTGAAAAAAAGTGTTTATGATAAATGTGCGTATAAAAATTGCCACAATGGTCGATTTTCTACGGGATCGCATTTATTTCGATTTCCATCAGGCACAGATGCAAGACAAAAATTATGAATACGCAATAGCGGTAAGTTTCTTATATACATTTTCTTGTATTTATTTTAATTATTTAGATTAGCACACCCACCTCCAATAACCTTGGGCTTGACATATATTATAAAGGTCACCCTCCTGAGTAACCCTCAGAAGGATTTAGCCGGCGCTCGTTGTTTATTAAAAAGTTATTAAAAAAACAATGTCAACCAATTATATGTAATTTTCAGACACAAATATTAAAAATTTTGAAAAATGTTTTAAACAAAAGTTGTAGATCTCTTTGAAATATACATTTTATGTTCTATTCATTTTTACTGTGCGAGTAATAGTTTTCGAAAAAAATGATGAACTCTAAATCTTATATCTCTCCTCCCATCTCCATCTGTCGTACGTCATGGAAGTACATGCATGGAGACAGTATGTTCCGCCCCCCCCTACGGGGGGGCTTCACTTCGTTAAAAATAACCCTACCCACCCTATGTCAGAGATGTGGAGTGGATCTCGCTTCACGTGGAAAGTCGAAAACCCATGTTGTGTCGCTACATTTCGTCGGTATGAGTGTCGTCGGTGTAGAGTGGATCTCGCTTGCTCGGTCAGTCTGCGCCGCGAGAAGAAGCGTGCGCGCGCGCGCGCGTGTGTGTGTGTGTGTTCAATCCGTACCGACCGTTGCGGGAGGGGGCTGGTGTGACCTTGTAAATGAAAATGGTAGTTTGTTTATGATTTTAAAGGTAGCTACACAGGCATTTTAATAAAAATTACTAAGAAAAAGTATTAAAATTTTTAGTTTTCAATTTGTTATATCTCCTAAACCAATGCCGTCCCCCACTTGATTCTTGCGGGGAATTACTCAGAAAACTCTCCCCTACAACATACCTAAGTGGCGAGGAAATCGGTGAGGTGTGACCTTTTCTGCATATTTACCTAAACTTTAGCAAGCCCAACAACATTGGATCGCTACTGGGATTCTCATCGACGCGTATACTGCAACCGCGAAAATGGCATGAATCAGACCTGCCAATCAACATTACCAATGTGAACATTATCCGCGTAGAGTGCAACGTGACCGCGGGTGCGTACAGCAACAGCAAGCCTGTGCACACGATACACGAATTTTCGCCGAACGTGTCACCAGGATATAATATATCGGAAACGCCGATGCAGATCATTTACCTGCCAGTCATCGCACGGAGCATTACCGATTTAACGGTACGCGTTGTGGATCACAACAGTCAATTGCTCGACTTTCGCGGAGAAGAAATCACCCTCAGATTGCACGTACGCCGACGACAGCGATAACGCGCGCGAGTGTGCATGAGATGCTCGTGCTGAACGGATCGGAGCAAATTGTAAAAGATACCACCAAGCCCGCGACATTGAGATTCGGTGATATCCAGTCGTCTAGTTGTTGCAAGAAGAAGAAACTCAACGCATTGAACGTGGAATTTTTAACCTCTTTGGGATTTGCAGTGCGCAAACAATGATTGACATTCTCAATATCAACGAAGAGCCAATCTTCGACGAGCGCACCGTCAAGATTGAGACTCACTCGTACAATCCGTTTGCCAACACTACATTCGGGCACAGCGATGAGATAGGAATACCAATACAACAACAGGATCTCTATACGTTGCCGCATGAAAGTTTTCTGTACATCGAGGGAAAACTAACTACTGCCAATCAAATCGAAGGATCTGATGTAGTACTGGGAAACAATTGTGTCGCGTTCATGTTCGACGAGATCCGATATGAACTTGATGGTGTGGAGATTGATCGCGCCAGAAGTGTTGGAATAACCAGCACGCTCAAGACCTATGTCTCGTCATCGTTCGATAAAATGATGTCTCTGAAGAATGCCGGCTGGGATGTGGTGAACAATGGAACCGGAGACTTTAATTTTTGTGCCGCTCAGCATGCTATTGGGATTCTGTGAAGATTATCAACGCGTGGTGATTAACGCCCGTCACGAATTGATTTTAATACGATCGCGCAATGATAACAACTGTCTCTTTGGAAATGCAGCGATGGAGCCTAAACTTGAAATATTCAAGATACAGTGGCGCATGCCGCATGTGTTGTTAAACGAGGTGAACAAACTGTCGATGCTGCGTGCTTTGGAAAGCGGACAATACCTCAATATGGGATTTCGTTCATGGGATCTGTACGAGTATCCGCTATTGCAATAGACGACTAAACATTCATGGGCTAGTAAAACGGCTACTCAGCTCGAGAAGCCGCTGTATCTTATCTTTGCTCTGCAAACAGGTCGGAAGAATATCATGTCACAGAATGTGAGCCAATTCAGTCACTGCAAATTGAGCAACGTGAAACTCTATCTGAATTCGGAATGTTATCCATACGATGATATGAATCTGGATTTCGATAAAAACAAATGGTCGAGTCTGTATGATGCGTTTTCGCGGTTCCGGAAGAGCTATTTCGGAAACGAGGTCCTTATGCCCGGTCTCACTACGACAATTTTCTAGAACAAGGACCGTTTGTCATTATCGATTGCTCCCGACAAAACGAGTCGGTCAAGAGGGCGACTGTGGACGTGAGATTGGAATTTGAGTGCAAGGCGAATGTGCCAGTGAATACCACTGCGTACTGTCTCGTCATACATGATCGTGTGGTTCAGTACAACCCGCTGACCAGCGTCGTGCGCAAAATTCCCTAAGTACTACATTTTGGACACAATGGTTTCCCCTCTTTCCAATACAGTTTAGAGGGGATGAAACGATTTAAAAATCTACTATGCATCAAGAGCAACCGCAGTATTCCTCCTTCTCTCGACGTGTTCAATCATGTCCATACCGACGTTTGTGGATCTGTAAGGCTTCATCGTCAGCGGTAACTTTGTTGTGAAGGAATTTGCCGCTCTCCGAGAGGGACGCGTTCTCTCT